AATATTTGAACATTCTCTTTCTCAATAATATTTAATTGTATGACATGAAGAAATAGGAACAATGCTCCAGAAATATGACGAATAAAAATAAAAATTTCGCTGAGGACAGGTTGCGCGAGACGCTCTGCCGAAAATTGGAGTTGCATCTCCCATGATACTCTTTCGGAGGGAAGAAAAATATATTCTCATTTGGATTGACTCGATGTCGCGACTCCCAGGCGAGAAGACTCGTCGTCGATTCGTTACAAAGGAATCCCCGTGCTACTTGAACGTCTACGCGCCCCATAAAAATGTGCGCGGCACTTTATATCGAGCGAGACCGTTCCCACGACACCCTGTGGGCTTCTCCTATGGGAATATTTTATAGGGGTGAACTCGTACGTATATGAACGCGAATGCGTGCGTAAACGTACATGCATGTATCATACATGTGTGTACGTCTCGCGAGGCTGGTTCTAACGGCAATCAGCGTGCTCGCATTTTCATCGGTGGTATACTGATCTTGATGTTATGTCTCACTTTCGATTCCAACGCAACTTTGACTAACTAATTGAACGCATACATCACCATTTGAATGAAAAATAAGCAAAAAAAAAAATTTGACTGAGCTTATATTTTATAATAATTATTTAACAATTATTTTTGGGCAAAATGCAATAATAATAAGCATTAAATTTACAGATACAAGAGAGTATTGTATGATAATTGTAAAGATTTCTCGCATTTCTTTCTTGTATAATGTCACATACCGCGATCCAGCATCTCAAATATTTTAGATTTCTCCCAGACATTTTATCAAATGCATCCTCATCAAAATTTCCTTGTAAAACTAAAAATCCAGCAGGTACCAAATTCTTTGTCAAAAACCAAATTGTTCGTTAAATATTTACGAAGCACAGATATTTTTGGATATTTTTGGGGGTACATTTTTATATTCTTTCCACTAGAACAAAACAAAATTCCTTTTTTATTTGAACGATTAAATAATCAAAAGAAAATATCTTTTTTCTTACACACACAAGAAGTCTGCCTTTTTGTTTTTATCAAATTCTTCAGTTTATCACTCCCGAGAGCTACAGTTTCGTTCTCGAAAGAATTCTGTTTAAAGTGTAAGTCTCGCTTGAATTGTATCGGTACCTGAATAAAATTCACAATCTAATATTTTATTTAATAGTATTTTACAATATTCTATTCTTTTTTATCTTCAAACATTTTATTATTCTTAAGATAACTATTATAATTTGATCGCGGATATAGTAAAAAAAAACTATTAAATTTAATAATAGCAAATTCTAGTGCAGAACAACAGCACACGAGAAGGATGCTCGAAAGTTAATCTAAAAGCACTTAAGAGTTACTATCGCTCTCGACTATATGTAATGTCTATCTTAAATTTAGTTAAATTACGCAAAGAGTTATATATATATATATATATACATACATTTTCAAGGTATTTTCTATATAATTGTAGAAAAGAGATCTCATACATGATGACATATATATATATATATATTAAAAATTTCGCTGAGGACAGGTTGCGCGAGACGCTCTGCCGAAAATTGGAGTTGCATCTCCCATGATACTCTTTCGGAGGGAAGAAAAATATATTCTCATTTGGATTGACTCGATGTCGCGACTCCCAGGCGAGAAGACTCGTCGTCGATTCGTTACAAAGGAATCCCCGTGCTACTTGAACGTCTACGCGCCCCATAAAAATGTGCGCGGCACTTTATATCGAGCGAGACCGTTCCCACGACACCCTGTGGGCTTCTCCTATGGGAATATTTTATAGGGGTGAACTCGTACGTATATGAACGCGAATGCGTGCGTAAACGTACATGCATGTATCATACATGTGTGTACGTCTCGCGAGGCTGGTTCTAACGGCAATCAGCGTGCTCGCATTTTCATCGGTGGTATACTGATCTTGATGTTATGTCTCACTTTCGATTCCAACGCAACTTTGACTAACTAATTGAACGCATACATCACCATTTGAATGAAAAATAAGCAAAAAAAAAAATTTGACTGAGCTTATATTTTATAATAATTATTTAACAATTATTTTTGGGCAAAATGCAATAATAATAAGCATTAAATTTACAGATACAAGAGAGTATTGTATGATAATTGTAAAGATTTCTCGCATTTCTTTCTTGTATAATGTCACATACCGCGATCCAGCATCTCAAATATTTTAGATTTCTCCCAGACATTTTATCAAATGCATCCTCATCAAAATTTCCTTGTAAAACTAAAAATCCAGCAGGTACCAAATTCTTTGTCAAAAACCAAATTGTTCGTTAAATATTTACGAAGCACAGATATTTTTGGATATTTTTGGGGGTACATTTTTATATTCTTTCCACTAGAACAAAACAAAATTCCTTTTTTATTTGAACGATTAAATAATCAAAAGAAAATATCTTTTTTCTTACACACACAAGAAGTCTGCCTTTTTGTTTTTATCAAATTCTTCAGTTTATCACTCCCGAGAGCTACAGTTTCGTTCTCGAAAGAATTCTGTTTAAAGTGTAAGTCTCGCTTGAATTGTATCGGTACCTGAATAAAATTCACAATCTAATATTTTATTTAATAGTATTTTACAATATTCTATTCTTTTTTATCTTCAAACATTTTATTATTCTTAAGATAACTATTATAATTTGATCGCGGATATAGTAAAAAAAAACTATTAAATTTAATAATAGCAAATTCTAGTGCAGAACAACAGCACACGAGAAGGATGCTCGAAAGTTAATCTAAAAGCACTTAAGAGTTACTATCGCTCTCGACTATATGTAATGTCTATCTTAAATTTAGTTAAATTACGCAAAGAGTTATATATATATATATATATACATACATTTTCAAGGTATTTTCTATATAATTGTAGAAAAGAGATCTCATACATGATGACATATATATATATATATATATTGCATCAATGTTTCAAAAACTTCTTTATTGGTATCGTATATAATTTGCTGTGTGATTATCTAACATTCACACATATTTAATTATTAATGAAAATAAACTTTATTCAATGCATATTCCTAATTTCTGTATTATTTATTCGATATCATTGAATGATATAAAAAATACGAAGTTTGTTCATATAATATCTAAATTGTAATATTTGAACATTCTCTTTCTCAATAATATTTAATTGTATGACATGAAGAAATAGGAACAATGCTCCAGAAATATGAGAGAAAAAGCGATAAAATAAAAATGTAAGAGAAAGACAGAATGTTGAAATAAAGAGTCAGTGAAAGAATGAAGGCGTGAGAGTAACTCTTTAGCATTATACATAATGAAAGAAAATGATATTTATATCGCACACAGACAAAAGTAATCTTAATTTTTTATATCAATATTTGTGTATGAAGATATTCCAATATGCTTGAACTTAATAATTAATAATTTTTTTTAATATAGTAGTTTTTCTTTCTATTTCAAAATCGAAAGTTATAAACATACATTAAACGATAAAATAATGTCGTTTTATTACCGTAATATGTTATTTAAAAATCTAATTTTATATAACTACTCATGTAATTACACAACGTGCAGTTTCTGAAAATCAACAAAAGTAATCACACACAGTAACAATAAAACCGTAAAATCATGTATTTCAGAAAAGTTTATATATTTTCGTTCTAAAAGAATAATATAAAAGAAAACAATGTATATATAGATATTGTTGACAGAAATATATTTTCTTGTACTAAGATTGAAAGATATAAAAAACAAAATAAAAAGATGAGATCGGAAAGAAAAACCAAGACGTTACTCTCTGCACTTTCGAACGATATTGTCCGCATTTACTGGTGAGATCAATACGCGCCGAGCTACGTAAAAGCTGTCGACAAGCGTAAAAACAAAGCATAACTGTATATATTATAATAAATAACAAGGGGGTTATTATCTGACTTATATCAAGATTGTGATATCGGCCTGCACAATGTTAGCAAAATAATTCTTCTTTTTTTATGACAATATAATAATATTTAAAATATTATTTATTCGATAAAATTATATATTGATATAAAATAAAATTTTCTGATTTAAAACTTCCTTTTAAAATTTAC